TACACAAAACTAAAGTGACATGGGTCAATGCATTTTTTTTTTTTTTGCAGTGTTCCCTCCCTTCCCCTCCCCTCCCACTCCTGGCAACCAGCAAAGAGTTTCCCTCCATATATCAATCTTCCCTTGACCTTCCACAACAACGACCTAATACTATATTTGTCCTTCTGTGATTGACTTATTTCACTCAGCATAATGTCTGAGGCAGGGTTTCTATGTGGACTTTAGTAAAGTTGGCGTAGGCAGTGGTGAATAATGGGGGTTTTGTGTATTTTTGTTTCATGGGACTGATTAGTTGTAGTTCATGGACATTGTTTTTGTTTTAAATTGTTTGGAGGGAGGTGTAAAGTTGGTTTCTCAGCTGGAATGGAAATCCTCTGCGTTAGCATTTTAGGTCCCTGTGTTGAGCACCTGAGGGTGACAGGAAATTGAGGAGAAGCTTGAAGTGTAGTTAGGGCAGATAGGATCTGAATATAAAAGATCAGTAAAGGCAGCAGAAGAAAACTCCAAGTGCTGGTGCCAGAAGCTGGTGCCAGAAAGGTTTTGCAGGAACAGAGGACAGGGAGTCTCACAGATCTGGGGTTGTTTGGGAAGGCTTCTGGAGATGGAGGTCTGGATGAGGCCTTGGAGGAGGTAGGATGCTTTCCTTCTGACTTGGAGCCTTGATGATGGTGGTCTGTGTCATGAGCTGGTGGTTATTATACATGTGTATGTGTATGGTTATATGTATGTATGTATAGGAGCTCTGGTGGTAGTGGTTAGGGCATTTGGCTGCTAAGCAAAAGGTTGGTGGTTCAAACTCACCAGCTGCTCAATGGGTGAAAGATGAGGCAGTCTGCTTCTGTCGTTTTTATAGCCTTGGAAGCCCAGTGGAGGTTGCTATGACAATGAATCCACTCAATGGCAGTGAGTTTTGTGTGTGTGTGTATACAAACAACGAAACCTGTTGCCATTGGGTTAATTCCAACTCATGATGACCCTACATACCGAACTGTTGTAGGGTTTTCTTGCCTGTAATCTTTGGGGAAGCAGATTGCCAGAACTTTCTTCTGTGGCATAGCCATGGGGGTTCAGACTGCCAACTTTTCTGTTACTGTTGTTGTTATGTGCCGTCAAGTCAGACCTGACTCATAGTGACCCCTCCTTGGGTTTTCGAGACAACATCACTATGGAAGTAGATTGCCCAACCTTCCTTCCGAGGAGGGGCTGGTGGGTTTGAACCACTAGCCTTCTGGTTAGCAGTCAAGTGCCTTAGGCACTATGCTACCAGAGCTCCTACTGTTACTAGTCGAGTACAAGTCTTTTGCACCAGCCAGGAACCTTACATGGGTATATGTTGCGTGCTGTTGAGTTGATTACAACTCTTATCAACTCCATATGACAGAGTTAATGGCCCCCATAGTGTTTCCTAGTCTGTAATCTTTTATGGGAACAGATCACCAGGTTTTTCCTCAGCTGGCCAGTTGGTAGATTAGAACCACTACCTTTTCAGTTAGCAGCTGAACGGTCAACTGTTGCGCCACGAGGGCTCCTTACGTTGGTGTATAACCCGGGTACAAGTCATTGAATGATACCTGCGATTTGAATACTTTGTTGTACTTGAGTTACACTGCAGTTGAAAAAGAAAACATAGTCCCTGCAGCTCTGACGCCAGTCTTAAGAAACTCCTAACAGAAATGGGAAGTTTATCTTCACAGAGATGAGCAAGGCATTATCTATGGCTGTGACAGAGGCGCCCCTGGGACTAACCAAGGTTTGCCCTTGATTTTCTCTGGAAAAGCTGTGGAGCAGATGAGCAACCAGGCTTGAGATTCTGACTCATATCGACTCCCGTTGGGTTTCCAAGGCAGTAAATCTTTGACAGAAGTAGATTGCCCCATCTTCCTTCCTCTGGCTGGGGGGTTTGAACCGCCAACTCTCTGGTTAGCCATCAGACCTCCTCAAGCTTGAGAAAGGAGAGCCAAAACCTTTGCTTTGACCTTGGGAACTGCCTGGTCTCCTCAATGAGGAACTTGTAATAAAAGAGACATTCCAGCCAGTCTGTGATTGAGCCTAACTTGACTAATGATTAGCTGGCTGCCCAGAACCCAGACTGGTGACAAGGTGCTGTGGTCTGTCTTGTGATGGGCAGCAAAGCCAGAGCAGACCATTAATAATCAGCATCGTGGTGGCGAGTCAGCCACTTGGAATGTGTGGTCTCCTTTAATGCGCCTTAGAATGTGCTTAAAAATTAATCTTGGTGTTTTTATTTGTGTGTGTCTTTATTTACGCGTCTCTCCTCTTTGAATCCACAGCAGACTGTCCCGATGCAGTGCCTTCCTCCGCTGAAACTGGGGGAACGAATTATCTGGCCCCTGGGGGGCTTTCAGGTAAGACACTTTATCCTGTTTGCCAGGCAGTTCCAGGCTCTCTCGAAGTAACGAGAGGCTGGGAGACTAGGGGTGACTCCTGCCACCCTAGCTGGTCTGGTCATCATTGCCATTTTCATGAACGGTACATTGGATGGACCCTTGGTGGCTTGGTAGTGCCCTTCAGCTGGTCGTCCTGTGGTGTCTTCCCTGTGAAAACATGAGAGGGCAGCTGGGGACTGGTTATGTGCTGTGAAGTACTCGGTGGTTGTTTGGACAGGGTCCTGGCAGGTAGGGCTTCCACTTGATGACTTTGATGTCGTAGGCCCATTGTATAAGCTCACTCTTGCTCTTGCCTTTTGTGTGTAGGGTGACTTGAAGGGCCTGGTTTTGCCTTTGGAGAACTTGTTGAAGATAGAGCCCAGGCATGGCATGGAGTTCTGAGTAGATAGCCTTTTAGCCTCCCTGCACATCCTAAGCTGCAGGGGCTTCAGTATCACCTGTCTGGGAGACAGCACAGGAGGGCGGCAGGTACCGCAGACAGCAGGAGCTAAAAACTGCTACTACCTAGGAGGGTGGGTTATCCTCAGGGCTCAGGGGCGTAAAACAGGGCCTGGAATGCCAGCATTCCTGGAGGATTATGGGATTGGATGAGATAAAGCAGATAGCCAGAGCACCATTGCCCCCGAGGGACATGCCAGGAGAGTGAGAAAGTCTTTGCCCTGGATGGTGGGAGGCATTTTAGTATTTTTCTAAAGATACCCCATTTCCACCTGTGCTTCCATCTCCCCCCATTATGTCATTCCTGTTTGTCTTTTTTTTAAGAACTAGCTGAAGCAAGAGAGAAAGTAACCTTAAAAAAAAAAAAAGAGTTCCTGTACAGTTCTGGCTGTTTGGCATTTCTTGCCTTTGGACATTGCGGTGCAGTCCTGGCAGCTAAGCTGGGAGCTGTGAGACTGTCACTCGGGGACTGTGGTACACCCTCTCTTGTGAGGTGACCTCTGACTCACTGGTCAAGCTTTGCCCTGTTCGTTTGGGATGGCCCCCTCTAGGAACTGAGCTTGTGAGAACCTCTTGAGGGAGACCCTTGTTTGCTTTCATTTCAGTGCAATATATACTCTGACTGTTATCTGAGAGAGAGAGGGTGTTGTTTACCCAAAGCTTCTAATGAGACTTGAGCAAGGAAAAAAGGGACCCAGGGAGGGGACAGTGGGGGTGGGGTGGGGTGGACCCATTAAAGGAGGGAGAGCATTGCAACCAACACTGCTTTCCAAAACTGTGAGAGTGGTCCCGAAAGAAAGACGACCAAGGAGAGGAAAGGGTCTGGGCAGAATAACACACTCGGGATGTTGTTAGATGGTTGTATTTTTAAAATCTTGAATGTGCTGGGAGGAGCCCCGGCCTCTCTGAACCACATGAAATAAGCAAAGGAAGTGGTAGCTTTTGAAAGGGGGCTTTTCGGAAGGCTTGTCTTATTGATAACATCTTGTCTGTCTCCTCTGCTGAAGGAAATGACGAACCCACTGAGCCAGCCTCCTTACTGTCCTCAAGAGCTAAACAGGGGGACCCACGCAGCCTCTACTGAGATGGGTGGGATTTGTGTTCCCAAAAGCCTTTCTAGAAAGAAACTGGGGATGAAACAATTTTTAATCCCCCCCCCCCCCACACACACACACCACCACCAGGTAATTGCAGCCATTTAGGTTAATGAGGGGCTGCTAGGGAAGGGGTGGTGTATCTGAAGGGATCACATGGTTTAATAAAACAGCACAAAAAAAAAAGGGGGGGGAACCCAGAGCCTCCACATGAAAGAGCATTTGTTTTGAATTTTAGCTCTTGATTTACTTAATTCCCAGGGCTTCAAAGTTTGAGCCGTTTCTTCTTCCCTTTTGGAGCTGGAGCATCGGATTAATAATGTGCTGAGGGGGGCGTCATAGAAACTGTTACTTGGGTGGATGTCACTGGGTTTCGGGTGTCTGGAGAGGAGGGGATGGGCACCAGGAAACCTACATCTGCACCCTTTGTTGTGAGAATGCCCCCAAAAGGAGACTTCCAGTGGCCACGGTCCAGGGCCGAGGGTTTTGCAGATGGAGAAAGTCCAGACCCTCCTCCTTTCTAGAAGTTGATCTTTTCTGTGTTGGGTGGGGGGGCGGGGGGGGAGGCTGGGTGTGTCTGCCTTGCAGAGAGGATGAGGCCAGTGGCCCCAGAGAGGGTTGTGGTGGCTGAAGGAGGCAGGGCTGGATAGTGGAAGGAGTTAGCTGAGCTAGAGGATGGGAGCCGGGCCTGCTTTGCAGGGGGGTGAGGGGACGAGCGGGGCCTCAAGGTGTGGGGTGCAGTGAAAAGGCCCACAGGGTTTGTCCTCTCCCCCCTTGAAATAACCACTCTGAGTGTCTCTTTCACGGCCCGGTGTGCTGATTTCCTTCCTGTCCTGCCCTGGCTGAGAGCAGGCTTCATGAATGGGGCTCAGTTTAGGGTGGGAGGAAGGTCGGCAGCAGAGCCAGGCCTTGATTCTCTTGGCAAGGGAAGAAGGGAAGGGAAAAAAAGGCAAATGTGAAAATGTGGTGCCTCGGTGGTGGGGGTGGGGGCTTGCTCAAAGGAATGCCCCTCCAGACATGCTGGGTGACTCCAGGGCTGGCCCGTCCCTTTTCCTGCCCCTTGAAAAAGGGGGTAGGGAGGACTGGGAGTGGGTGTCCTGGCTGGGGATCTGCCCCTCTGGTAGCAGCTGGAATTCCAGCATCGAGACAGGCCCCCTCCTGTGGCTTGCTTGCATGGCCACACCCCATGCCTGCACGGTTCTCGGATGGGAAAACGTTTTTAGAAGGCAGTGACTTGGTTCCAGGAGATTGTACTTGCATTTCTGACAGCCGGCTCTCTGAGACAGATGGATGGCTCTGTCGCGGTGATTGCGCGTGCGCACGTGTAGACATGCAGAGAGACAGTCCTGTGCACAGACACACAGCACACAGATGCCCGCAGCAGACTTGGGGAGAGGCGGGAGGGTGGTGTCATGGTAGCCTCTCTCTCTCTTTTTTTTTAAATTGTGATTTGAGTGAAAGTTTACTGAGCAAATTCATTTTGCATACAGCAGTTCATACACGTTTTGTTTCACGATACTGACTGCAATTCCCCACGATGTAACAGCTCTCTTCCCACTTCCTCCCCATAGTTACCTCTTCCCTGTGTCCTTCTTTCCAATGCATTCCTTCCCCCAAGCTATCTCTCTGTGCAAACACTGCCCTTCTGTTCTCCCATGATTGATGGCTCTCAGGAGCGTATCCACCTGATGTAAATGTTCACCCCATATGCCCGTCTATTGTTTGACTGGAAGCCATGGGAGTGAGTTCAGTTCCAGATCTGCAGGGTAACTAGGGGCCAGAGTCTTGGGGGTCTCACCAGGCTCTATCAGACCAGCAAACCTAGTCTTTTCTTTTTATGATTCTGAGTTTTGTTCCACATTGTTCTTCCACTCTCTGGGATCTTCAGGGTAGCCTCTTCATGAGCTTGTGGACTTTGGAGGCAGGGAGTGAAGGTAGTGGGTTGGATTTGAATTGGGTCTGGCTGCCCTTTGAAAGGCATGCACAGGGCTCTGGTGACCACCTGGATTCGAGTCCATGGCCCAGGATGACCTGTGTTGGAGAGGGCTGCATGGAGGGTAACTTTTAGGTTCTGCTCTGGTGGAAATGGAAGGGGTTTGGTCTGTGGGCTTTCGCTGTACCCCTGATGATTAAAAGCAGGGGTTAGACGTTGTCTCCTTTGCAGCCTCCATCCGTGGATTCTGGGGGGCTTTCCTTTAGTCCGTCTGCTTTCTTGGTTTGGGTGGGATGCGGCATCACCCCCACCCTTGGGAATTCTAGGTTATTCCGCTGCACATCCATCCACCAGCCTCCTCCTTTATCTGTCAGGAGCTGGCTGGGCAGGGATTGAAGGCCAGCAGCCACTTGTAGTTATTTAAACTTCTAAAGGTGTCACCCTACATTTCAAGAAGGGAGGTGGATGGCAGCAAAGAACTAAGGACTGACATCTCTTTCGGGGCTTTGCGGGAACTCTGACGATTGGCTCTGCAAAGCTATGGCTTATTGAAGTGACATTGACCTAACAGTCCGAGGGTGGCCAACTCCTTTGCTGAGGTCTGAAGATTCACTTAAGGCTTGTAATTCCAGGTCTAGGGTATGGGCGTGTCCTTAAGCCAGCATCCACTCCAGGAATGTGTCTCTGATCCCCGCTGGCATCTGTGTTAGCCTCAGAGGGGGCCTTTAAAAATACTTCTAGACTCTGAATATGCAGCCCTGGCTCAGTGCACTGTCAGTTTGGGCTCAAACCAAGCAGCTTAGGGAAGAGTGCTCCATCCTGTTTGAAGGAAAGTCATTCAGCTACATGTGCCCTGTTATTTATTGTCTGGCTTGGATGGGTGATAGTGAACTGAGAGTCTGGGCCTGGGTGTCTGTGGCATCATTTAATGCCTCCTTCCTCTGGGAACAGGCGGCTTGTGGTTTCATGAGCACCCTCCTGCCAGGGGGTTGAGCTCACAGCCCAGCTGGCAGCTCATTCAGGTGGCTAAGAAGAGCTTGAGCTCTCGGGGGACCAGCATGAGTGACCACAAGTGAGCTCCTTTCATCCCTCATCCCCATCCCCAAAGCCACTGTGAGAAGTCATAGTCTGCATCTCACTGCATGCAGTCCGTGTGTTCAGTCAACACCAGCATCACGACTCGGGGCTAGGGCCAGCTCACCCTGCGCACACCCCCTCCCAGATGAGGACCAGCCGGGTACAGCAGCTTCAGCTGTTTGCCCCAGGTCACGAACTTACCTGGAGAAAGGCTTGCTGATAAAACACGTTTTGTCCTGGAAAGAATGAGGCAGGCAGGCAGGAGGTAGACGCAGGGTAACGGCATTTGAAGCCTCTGGAACAGATTCAGGCTGCTCTGCCCGGCCAGACTAGATGGGCTGCGGTCTCGTGCATCTTCTCAGTGTAGCAGAACAGGCCTGCCACCCAGGGGGTGGAGGCAGATGAAGGCCGGGTTC